TGCCATAAGTAGGAACAGAAGGACACAACATTATACAGGAGCTTACAAGAGGTTTCAGACCTTGTGGCACTCCTGGTGGAGATATCAGAACTGCAACAGAACCATAAAAGACAAACATATCAAGAAAAAGGTAAGGCAAACATAATGACTCAACTTCCAACAACAAAGCTACCAACTACACAAAAAGGAATACAGTGCATAACAAACTAAAGCATATTACAGGTTCTTGTATATATTACAGAAACCTGGCTACAGCAAGAATTTACATCCAGGCATTTCTTGAAAATGACTTCTGGGATATTGGGGATTATTATTATTATTATTATTACTTCTTAAAGTATTTGTACCCTGCTCTTCAGCCAAAATGGTTCCCAGAGCAGCTTACATACAATAAAAACTAAAGAGTCCCTACCTGCAGGCTTACAATCTAAAAAACACACAACACAACACACAAAGGGAAGGGGACAGGGAGGGAAGAGGGGGGGAATCAAACTCGGATACTAATTCTTAAATGGATGTTCTTATAATAACCAACTGACACAGTTCAGGGGTAGGAGATGCCTGATGGATGATGGTGGAGGGTGCTTTGCTGAGCTGAACTGACTTGGCCACCACTGATATCAGAACAAAGGAAAACCCCTGCTGAATCAGGCCAAAGGCCCATCTAGTCCAACGTCCTGCTGTCACAGTGGCCAACTTGATGCACTGCCCCATTGCTAATTCCCAGCAACTGGCATTCAGAGGCATGGTGCTTTCAACAGTGGAGGCAGAATGTAGACATTGTGGCTGGTTAGAAGAGATAGCACCAGGCATGCTGGACAAATGTCAGTCTAAGGCAGATGCTAAACTTTATTTCCTCATATATCCCTTGGCAAATGCAGGTTCAAGCTTATTCCAGCGGTAAAAGTTATACTGTGTAATATTTAGTATCCTTGCGAAATATCATGAAATACTGAATAATCTTCAGACCTTCATCTCCAGTGTCACATTCAGGTTTCAGTTGTTCTCCTCCTCCTTCCCTGTCTACCTCATTTCATAGCTGTCCCATAGAGGAAATATGTAAGAGCCCAAGCATATTAAGCCAATATATTCCAGCTAAATCCCTTGATTCCTCTTCATTGCAACAAGCCATACATGCAAAGAAAGGATTTTGGATAAGTGGACAGTGACATTTTCTCATTCTTGTTGTCTGGATCACTGCCTGCTGAAATTGAATCTGAGTGCTTGAGCACATCTCTGCTTTTAACTGTGATACGGAACAGTGTTTACAGGGAGTGGGGGGAAGTGTGCTATAAAATTCTCCTAGAGGAAGATGCTTTACTTTCCACCACCCCTCTCTCTCCTCCCCAGTGGTCAGAGATAACCTAGTATAGTATGAAAAAGATTGGCTTTCCTTTGGTGCCTGACCAACTTTCACTCCTCATTGCCTTTCCAATCACTATTCCTTTTGTTTTCTTTGCATTGATTTACAACTGGTCCTTTGCTAGTTGAACTCACTGCTTCATTTGGTATGTGTCCTTAAAATGCCTCAAATAGGCTATCATTAGCAAAAGTCACGATCTATTTAATTATAATTTACTGGGAATGAAATGCTGGCGCTGACCTCTATCTGACATTTTCTGGGCTTGACTCATTAGAAATGGTTTAGAGATTTGCATTTGGGTATTTTTAAAAGACATATAAAGACAAAGTGGTATCAAGGACAAGGTGTCCTATGGAAGAGTTCTAGAAAGTTGCCATTTCCAATGTTTACCAAAAACGTTGCATAGAAATTCCAAGGAAACATACCCTTTTTGCTTGCTCCTGACTGTGTGTGAGTAAACTCAAGCAACCAACATGTTCTCTCCATCTCCACAAAAAAGAAAAGATGGAAGATTTTTTTGGGATTGCTGTGAGGTGCCATAAAGAGGTAGAGACACGTCTGTGTAAAAATAATCTAAAGAAAAGTCACAGAGCCAAACCAGGTTGGTGCTTGTTACAGCTTGTCAATATCCTTGTTAAATTGTGGTGCCCAGAAATGAACACAGCATTTCAGGTGTGGTCTGACCAAGGCAGAATAGAGTGGTACTATTACTTCCCCTGGACGTGGGTGGTGCTGTGGTCTAAACCACAGAGCCTAGGGCTTGCCGATTGGAAGGTCGATGGTTCGAATCCCCACGATGGGATGAGCTCCCATTGCACAGTCACAGCACCTGCCAACCTAGCAGTTCGAAAGCATGCCAAAAAAGTGCAAACAGATAAATAGGTACCTCTCCGGCAGGAAGATAAATGGCGTTTCCGTGCGCTGTTCTGGTTTTGCCAGAAGCGGCTTAGTCATGCTGGCCACATGACCTGAAAAACTGCAGACAGACATCGGCTCCCTCGGCCAGTAAAGCGAGATGAGCAACGCAACCCCAGAGTCATTCGCGACTGGACTTAACCGTCAGGGGTCCTTTACCTTTTTATTACTTTCCCTAATCTGAACACTATAATTCTGTTGATGCAGGCTAGAATTGCATTAGCTCTCTTTTTCCTGCTGCTGCTGTTGCTGCATCACAGTAGTGACTCATGTTAAGCTTGTGGTCTACTAAGACCCCTAGATCCTTTTCACATGTACTACTGGTAAGTCAAGTGTCCCCCAACCTTCTATTTGTGTAGCTGGCTCTTCCTTTCTAAGTGAAGGACCTTACTTTTGTCTCTATTTAAATTAATTTTGTTAGTTTTGGCCCAGCTCTCAAATCTGTTAAGGTCATCTTAAATATGTGTGTGTGAGAGAAAACTTTTCACTTAAAACTGGTATGACATGTTTCAACCAGCAATTCAAAGCATTTTAAGTCAAGTATATGAGCTCTGGACTTACCGGTACCTAGAAACATCGTCAGCCTTTACACAACCTTCAGAACACAATCTTTAGATGATACTCCCCATTGGTATATGCTTGTTTCATCAGGAAATGGAAAGAGTTATGCAAATTAGTGCATTTTGCTGGTTGGTATGTTAATTCTTAGATTTTCTTTCTGAAAAGCCGTTAGAACCCTTCAGAATAAATCTTTCTCTTTTACTGAAAGAACAAGTGTTAAGACAGTCTTGAAAAGTGAAAAGCTGTCTTTCCCTTGCTTTTCTTAATAATACATTTTCTGTATACAAATACTATTCTTAAGAGCTAGCATATTGGTTCCATTGTAATTTTGTGTATGAGTTCTTGCACATCATACAGCACCACTAGACACTTGGCTGTTCAGTAATTGACACATCCCTTTATGAACAATTGATTTTGATTGCCTTCTCCTTGCTTTGCAAGCACAATTTGCATAGCATGCTGGTTTCAGCTTGGAAAATTATTCTGCAGGCTGTAATTCTGTGTTCTCTATAGCTTCTCAGCCTTTGGTTCTGGATTGTATCAATAGCTGTTACTTAGACACCCACCCACCCAATTTATGTGCTCTTCCCACCCCAGTGGCCATGAAAGACCAAGGGCCCTGTGAGAGACAAGGTCAGACAGTGGTCACACATGTAAAATAATTTTAAAGCACGTGGCTCCACCAAAAGGATTCTGGGGACTCAATTTTGTTAATGAAGCTGGGAATTATAGCTCTGTGAAGGGAAAACTACAATCCTCTGGATTCTTTGGGGAAACTGCTCATTATGCTGAATGCGCAGCATGACACAACACTTTTTTCCCCTTAATTACAGGCATGGGGTGGCAATTTTTGGGACCATAGTGCTGGGGAGGGTCAGTTTATTCATTCTCTTGCCCATCACACTCAAGATGGCAAGAGGTAAGATATGAGGCTTGGCAAAACAAACAAAAAGTTTCCGAATGGTGCTAGTTTTGTAGCGCAGGGGTGTCAGCCTGTGGTCCACAGGCCTGATTCTGCCCATGCATTTCCTAATGGTCACCCAGCCCAGCAATCCAATTTACCATTGGTGGAATGAGCAACTGCCAGGGGAGGTGTCTTATGGGGGAAAATTGCACGTGTGTTACCTGGTCACAGTCTAGGCCACTGTGGTGAGATATAATTCTAGTTAAATTATGTCTATAACTTATAAATTATAATTATATAAATTAGCACATGCAAATTTTATGCAAATCTGAATTGTCTTCTCTTTTTTTGCTGATGCTTAATGCAGCCCAGTGCACCTGGGACGCATTGTTCTGTACCTTGCCCACATTCACAAACCTACTAGAAAGAAATTATACAAGCGCTGCTGAAGTCTTGCAAAACTCTTTTCTTTAAATCAATCATTTATATTGTGGACTGGTTGGTTAAATGGTATGAAACATGTTAGGGAGGGAAGTTATTGACAGTAGATGTTTGTAAATCAAACCTATTTATTTATTTGTTTGTTTATTTAAGTGACATTTTCATTTTCAGATTTATGCTAAAAATGAGTTGTTAAAATGGGGAGGGGGGAAAGGCACTGAGAGCAGGTTTGGGACACCAGAAAAGAAACAATTTAGAGCGCTGGAGGTGAGGGTAAAACTGGTGTCATCCCATTTCAAGGAAAGAATTGACAGAATTTGTAATTGCAGTGACTGTAATGCAGCCACCAAAGAGACTGCCCATGTCAAGGTCATTCGTGTTTTGCTGGGATTGTCAGGTTTTGATTCATCCTCCATTGCGGTGGTATGTGACACTAGGATTGTCAACAACAATTTCATAGCAGCCTCTTGACCATTGTCATAGTATTTTATCTCTCGGTGATTCTCAGAAGTCATGTCTTGTCTAGCCGAGACAGCTTTCATACTTCAGTTCATGCTAGCAAATGATTGATATACCGCTTCTTTATTTTATCTGAGAAGCTGGTTTGCATCCAAGGTCATTTAAGGCTTCACTTTGAGGAATATTTTCCTGTTGTTTGGAGTGTGTAGATATATGTGTGTGCTTGACATCAGGCCCGCTAATTTGCTGTCTGTTAAACTCCATTCTTCATCTATTGGGGATGCTTGCAAACCATAACAAGCTTTATTTGCAACTATGTACATCAGGGAGAAGGTGACAGTAAGCCCAAGGGGAGAGGGCCATTAGCTCAGTGGTAGAGCATCTGCTTTGCATGTAAAAGGTCCCAGGTTTAGCCTCCAGCATCTCCAGGCAGGGCTGGGGAGACCTCTGTCTTTCTGTTGATTTAAAGCAGAGTCTGGTGCCCAGCGGAAGGATGAGGAATACGTGCTACATACTCTATATTGCTTTATTTACAGTTCAAAGCTGGTATATTACAGAAAGACATCTTGCCTCTGCCGGAGCAGAAAATGCATCCTCTCTCCTCGACAGCTCGGAGAGAATCACACAGTGAAAAACAGGAAACCAGTGTACGTCACATCCAGTCTCCCTTTCCCGTGAGAAACTCCAACAGTACAGACTGTGGAATGTAAACACCTGTCTCGTGACAAGTTAGCTGCACAGTGAAGGAAAGCAGAAACCAACATCCTCCCCCTTTCTGTGAACATCACTGGGCAGCGTGTTCGTACAGTATCAGTACAAACCCAACTTCTGCACATAGGTACAGTGTTGATCCCTTGATACAATCTTGGACAATACATCAGCAGGAATTTCATTACCTGGCATATAGGACACCGTTACGAGTCCCTTCTGAATACATTCCCTAGCATGCTGCAACTTTAATTGTAAGTGCTTTGTGCTTTGCTTACAACCTTCAGATTTCAGCAAAGCCAAACATGCTTTGTTGTCCTGGTAAACCTGGATTGGACATTTGACAGGAATTTTCATATCTTTGCACAATTGTACTAACCATTCACAATCCTTAAGTGAATAAGACAGTGCATTCAGTTCGGCTTCACAAGTACTTAAGCTAACTGTTGTTTGCTTCTTGCATGACCAATCAAACAGACTCTGATTGTACATGTAGCAAACCCCAGACGTACTTTTCCTGTCTGTAGCGTCACTTCCAAAACTTGCATCTGCAAATATCTCAAGACCACCAGACTTCTGATTGTTAAATCTCAGTCTGTAATGCATAGTGCCTTTCAAATACCGCGCTATGCGTTTCAGAGCTTTCCAATCCTTGACACTAGGATTGTTGACTTGTCTGCTTAGCAAATTACAGCTAACAGCAATGTCAGGTCTTGAACATCTGGCAATGAAGTTTAGCTTGCCTAGCACACTCCTGTACAGTGTAGTGTCAGAAAATGCTTCTTCAGTGTCATCTACCTGATAACCTGTTGTCATCGGTGTGTCTACAGGGTTAGCATCCATCAGATTTAGTTTGCTTAACACATCAGCAATTTTCCGTGACTGGTGTACTAGAATGTTACCATCTTGATCTCTCTCTATTTCCAGAGATAGGTAGTTGTTTACCTCACCAAGATCTTTCATGTCAAAGTGCTCTTTCAGTTGAGCTAGGGCGTTATTGTACATTGCAACATCTTTCCAAAAGAATAATAAATCATCAACATAAAACAAACAGTACAGTTTCTTTTGCCCCTCCTCTTTGACAAATACACATGGATCAGCTTTCCCTTGCTGAAAACCTAGAGAAAACAATACTTCAGTGAGTTTTGTGTGCCAACACCGTGCACTTTGTTTGAGACCATAAAGGGATTTCTTCAGAGCACAAACAAATCCCTGTTTTACCTGTACGCCATCAGGTGGAAGCATATAAAGTGATTCATCTAGAGATCCGTACAGAAAAGCTGTATTAATATCATGGTGACTAATGTGTAGATTTTCCTCTGCAGCTAGCTTGAGCATAAGCCTAATGCTTTCATATCTCACTGTGGGTGAATAGGTCTCGTGATAGTCTTGACCTGGTACCTGTGCAAAACCTCTGGCTACCAATCTGGCTTTGTGTCTGACTATCTTGCCATTTTGATCTGTCTTCGCTTTGAAGACCCATTTGCTTCCAAGCAGTTTCATTCCTGGAACTACTGGAACTAGCTCCCATGTTTTGTTCCTTTCCAAGGAATCAAGCTCAGCCTTCATGGCATTTAACCATGGCTCAGCTTCCTTTGAATCCAAACCCTGGATTTCTTGGAAACTTGAAGGTTCAAATACCTTCTTGGAGCTTTTAACAGCTGTTACTGCTATCTTAGCAAACTCATCAGCAAATCTCTTTGGAGGTTTGCTTTTGTGGCTCTCTGTGACCTACGAATTAGCCTTAAGTCTTCAACACTCTCTTCTTCCTTCTTAGGAGAAAAACGACCTATTGTGAACAATGGTTCCTCCAATTCTTGATCAGAGCTTTCAGAGGGTCGCATAGAGGCTTTCGCACTTTTGAAATCCTCTGAATCACCCGATTCAGTTTCAGAATCAGACTCAGAACCTTCATCAGTGGGTGTGGGCTGTTGTGGTTGCTTTTGACTATCCTCAGTCTCATCCCCGTCATCAGGATAACATCGGAACATTCCCACATCCTCCCCCACTTTGCATTGTACTCAACACTTCTTGTGAGCTTAATTGTCTTAGAGTCAGTCATCATTATTCTGTAAGACCCTTTCTGATAACCTAGAAAGATACCATGCAATCCACGCTTGTCTAACTTGGAGTTTTGTGGTGAGCGAACCCACATGTCAGAACCAAAAATCTTCATGTGTTTGATGTATGGCTTCTTGCCAAACATCTTCTCATAGGGGGTACAAGCAATCGCTGAAGATAACCTGCGATTGTAACTGTAAACAAAACACGAGAGAGATTCGGCCCAATAACTCTCTGGAAGATTGGCATCATGCAGCAAGGTTTTTAACCCTTGAAGCAATGTCTGATTTGCCCGTTCCGCAAGTCCATTCAGCCATGGCGAGCGAGGACTAGACAAATCGTGTTGAATTCCTTTCTCAGTCAGAAAAGCTTCAAACTGCTGAGAAGTGAATTTCCACCCGCGATCACTGAAAAGAGTCTTTATCTTCTTACCATGCACATTTTCCAACCAAGCACAGAATTCCTTGAACCTAGGAAAAGCCTCCGATTTCTGCTTGAGATTGTACACAAAAATATATCTAGAAAATGCATCAATGAGAACCATGAAGTATCTATTTCCACCCAAAGAGGGCGCTAGTGGTCCAACCAAATCAGCATGAACAACCTGGTATGGTTCTGTAGCTTTCCTACTAGACACCTTACCTTTCGCAGCCACTTTCACCTTGTTTGCTGCGCATGCTTTGCACTTCATGTGGTACCTGCAGGGTTTAATAGTCATACCTTCAACCAAGGCAGGCATTTTAGATACTGCCTCAAAATGCAAATGACCAAATTTTCGATGAAAATCGTGAATACATTCTGCATGCAAACTTTTGTTAGAACCTGCAATGCAACAAGTGTCATCCTGCACCACATCATCATAATACAAAACAAACAAATGATCAACATATTCTGCATGCAATACATAATCATTTTTCTTTGTGATGATGCACTTCTTGTTCTTGAAGGAAACGTCAATGTTCCGCTCATTCAGCTGTCCAACGCTGAGCAGATTATGTTTGGCGTCTGGCACGTAAAGCACATTCTGTATCGATAAGTCCAAACTGTGAAGAACAACAGTTCCGTAGCCTTTACTGGGAATAGTGTGGTCATCCGCCTGGTGAATCGCACCTTCCTGCGGTGTAAAAGACACAAACAGTCTCTTATCGTTGCACATGTGGTGGTTGGCCGCTGAATCAACAACGAAGAAAGATCTAGACGTTTTCTGGACCTCTGCAACCTTTGGAGTGAAGCGTGAAACCATAGCCTTGTGCTGCGTTGTCCTAGACACCGGACCTTTGCCTTTGTTTCGGCCTTTTCCGCGTGATGAGCTTTCGCTGCGCTGCTCTGTCTTGGCCCTGGGATGTCTGCATTCCCTCTTCATATGGCCTAGACGTCCACACGAGTAGCATTTCACAGCCTTCAAAGCTTTGGCGCCATCTGGTGGTTCCACTGCACTATGGGATGACGTCTGTGAAGACTCCCCTTGCCCATGCAGCTAGCACCCCGGCGATCTGCTTCATTTAAAATCACGGCAGTAACAAAGTCCACTGTCAGCTGAGCAGTTGGTTGCACAGCAATCTGGGTTGCAACAGACTCCCAACCTGAACCCAAAGATTGTAGTATCATGAAAGAATACACAGCCTCTGGAAAGTTGAGTCCTCTCTGTTGCAGCTCATGTCTCAGATTTTGCATTTCCATCAGATGTAAACGTACATCTCCACCTTCAGCAAGAGCCATATTATGCAGCTTGTTAAAGTAAAACATAGTGGATCCAGCTTCTGTCCTTAAGTGAGCCTCTCTCAGAGCGTCCCAAATTTCTCTGGCTGAGGTCTTATCACGCAATAGACAGAGCTCTTCTGGGGATACTATCAATGTAAGAGTTCCCCTTGCTTTGGAATCCTTAGCTTCCCATGCATCTGTAACTGGAACTGGGGGGGTTCCTGTAATCACCTCAAACAAACCCTCTTTCCGCAGAATTGCCTCTGCATACTGAACCCAGTCGGCATAATTTTTCTTGTTAAGCTTAGGAATCCCACAAGCATCCTGAAGGGCCATCATGACTCTGGCATTAGCCTTCAGTGTCATATGCTGCTTTAAATCTTGCTGCGTCACTGCTGCAGCTGCCTTATTACAAAGGCACACTTAAAAGTTACTTTCGATTTCCCCAGCATAGTGACTTGTGCCTGGGAGCCTTTTGCCTATTCCCGGCAAAACCGGCTTTAAAAGTTCAAAGTCCAGCCATAAAGCCATTAACTTGAAGCTGGCAGGCTGCCCGGAGCAGTAGCACATACCTCATCAATCACCTCTACGCGCAGAGCAGATTCCGTTCCGATCTGTCCCTCTGCATTCCGATCCTTTGCCGGCACTCCGATTCGACCTCTGGAGCCCATAACCACGTGTTGATTTAAAGCAGAGTCTGGTGCCCAGCGGAAGGATGAGGAATACGTGCTACATACTCTATATTGCTTTATTTACAGTTCAAAGCTGGTATATTACAGAAAGACATCTTGCCTCTGCCGGAGCAGAAAATGCATCCTCTCTCCTCGACAGCTCGGAGAGAATCACACAGTGAAAAACAGGAAACCAGTGTACGTCACATCCAGTCTCCCTTTCCCGTGAGAAACTCCAACAGTACAGACTGTGGAATGTAAACACCTGTCTCGTGACAAGTTAGCTGCACAGTGAAG